AACTTTTCTGTTCCGTTTAATCCGTTCTACTTTCCTATTTGTATCAAGAAAGGTTTCGGACATCCTGTGTATATACAGGTCCCGGATAAGACGTGCCAAAAGAAAAATATAAGTAAAACAGATAAAATTGAACAAAAATTGTAGAGATCATTTTTCAAACAACCACGTAAAATTTCGAGATATTAATAAAAATAATTGGACAAATTAGAGCGTGGCGACGCAGCAGGCGGGACATACGGCTCGCCGCGGCCGGCGAAAAAAATGGATGATTGCTCGCGGGCCTATCTTATAGGCCAGAAAGGTGGGTTATTTGCCATACGGAAATGGGTAGCTCCATGTGTGCGTACGTGTACGTGTGCGCTCGTTCATTTTCTTCGTCGGCCGCGGCGAGCCGTATGTCCCGCCTGTCGCGTCGCGCGCTCTAATTTATCCTACTATTTTTATTAATATCTCGAAATTTTACATGGTTGTTTGAAAAATGACCTGTACAATTTTTGTTCACTTTTATCTGTTCTACTTATATTTTTCTTTTGGCACGTCTTACGCGGAACACCCTGTACATATATATATATATATATATATATATATATATATATATATATATATATATACAGGGTGTCCCATAACTGATAGAACACCCGTTAGGTGTAGGTAGGGTGTCCAATTTGGAACTGAAAGTTTCTCTTCCATTTTTGGATCCGACAATTAGTCAATGAGATATTAATTAATTAAGGGCCCCTGAAGAGGTCCCACGGCCCTGAGCGCTCACTTGGAGCGCTAAGGGATTGGCAGAATTAATAAATAAATATCTTATTAACTAATTGTCGGATCCAAAAATGCAAGAGGAACTTTCAGTTTCAAATTTTACACCCTACTTATTATAATTTTACGCCCTAACGGGTGTTCTACCAGTTATGGAACACCCTGTATCTACAGGATAACTCAGACCTCCGTGATGACTCTTTGTGAGAACATAGAACGGATTGAGGTACGCAAGAAAGTTCTGTGACGTTTTGCGATATTCGCAATAATAGTCGAAATATTAATTAAAAAAGATTGGTGAATGATCACGCGCAATATGGTAGATGAGCTGCAATGGTGTCGTCTGCCGTTGTGTACTTATACATTAAGTCAAACTGAACAAAAAAGTCCTTTACTATTTTGTAAATGACCACATAGATTTTTAGATATTAATTAAAGAAAATTTGTGCATTATAGTATACAATCATATATGTAATAATTTTCTTTAATATTTAAAAATCTATGTAGTCATTTGCAAAATGATAAAGAACTTTTTTGTTCAGTTTGACTTAATGTCTAAGTATACAACGGCGTCACTACAGCTCATCTATCATATCGCGCGTGATCATTCACCAATCTTTTTTAATTAATATCTCAACTATTAATGCGATTATCGTAAAACGGCACAGGACTTTCTTGCCACCTCAATTCGTTCTACGTTCTTACAAAGGGTCATCATGGAGCTCTGAGACACCCTGTGTATGTGTGTGTGTGCGTGTGTGTGTGTGTGTGTGTGTGTGTGTGTGTGT